CAACGGTCACTTGCGTGGGCTGGATTGCCAGACCCAACCCGGGTGACTGCTAGGGCTTACGTGGCATAGTGAAGACCAGGACGTGGTCTTCGCCCTAGTCCAACTGCTCCTTGATCTCCGGAAAGTGGGCTTGACCTGCTCTTTCGGAGGTGGGCAGTTGGTCGATGACGTGTCCCCGCGGAGGGGGGCACGTGGAGATCGTGCACCGGGCATGTTGTTCTCCCCGCGGAGGGGAGCTCGGGAGGTTCCCTGGAGGCACGTTGTTCTCCCCGCGGAGGGGAACGCGAGGATGTGGAGGAACCAAGGGTCTCGCTCGACGGACCGGGGTGTGCCCTGTTCGGCCGATAAGAGAGGACGTTGAGATGCTGTCGGACGCGTCGCCTATCCCGGGGGGGGGGGGGGGGGGTGCTCTGCCCGTCCTATGGGACGCGTGTGCCCGGTCGGGCTGGTTCACTTACTGGGCCGTGCGTGGTATTGGGCTGGACCGAGGTTGGGCCCAGACCAGAACAAAAACCAGTTAATTATTAGTATAATTTTAACCAAATCCATATTTTGGACATCTATATCCAAAATAAAAACCAAATTAGTTAATTTTTTTATAAAAAATTAAAAATATAATATTTTTTGAAAAAAAAATTATTTTATATATATACATATAAATATATCTATCTATCTATCTATCTCTCTCTCTCTCTCTCTCTATATATATATATATATATATATATATATATATATATATATATATATATATATATATATATATATATATATATATATATATATATATATATATATATATATATATATATATATATATTTGTTGTAAAATATTTTAAAATTTATAAATTCATAAAAAAAAATTAATAATTTTATATAATTAAAAAAAATTATTGACACTACTGAGTAAATAATTTCAGCTTTTTTAAAAGATCATGAATTCTATCAAATATGTTAGATAAGCAAAATAAAAGTATGTATATATAATATGTAAATGACAAAACTGTCCTTGCAAAAAAAAATTTAATTTGATAAAAAGATAAAATAGCATTCATATTTTTAAAATTATACTAACTATTTTATTTTAATACTTCCAATTTATTAGGCTTTAATTTTTTATATTATATAAAGTTACAAAATTTCTCTTATGATAAAATCATACATATTTTTTATCGATATTTTTTTAATTGAATATCAAATTAATCTTTATTTTTATTTTATCATATTTCATTTTTTATTTTAAATTATAGATTATAGAGATAAATATGTAAATTATTTCCTTATCCTATCCTGTCGAATTTTAACCCACCTCATATTTAGGATAAAATTTTAACTAGTGAGGCATAATGTGATATCTTTCAGGATTAACTTATCATATCCTGTCGTGTCATCAAACACAAACACTGGGTTGAGATAAGATATGATATAAATATCATATCATGTCTTTTATCCTGCGCACCAATCAGACCCTTAATGGACGGGGTAGTTGTTGTGAATGCACTTTTGTAACTTGTTAAGCAAAGTGAGAAATCTTGTCTCCTCTTCAAAGATGATTTTAAGAAAGCCTATAACTCTATAAGCTGGTATTTTCTTGACTATATGCTTGCTAAATTTGGGTTTAATGATAAACGAAGGAGTTGGATTAGAAATTGTGTGTTTTCTGGTAATCTAAGGTCTTGGTTAATGGGTGTCTGATCCAAGAGATCAGTATTCAAAGGTGGTTGAAGCAAGGTGATCCTCTATCTCCCTTCTTTTTTATCATGGTAGCTGAAAGCCTGAGTAGTCTGATATTTAAGGTTGTAAAGTTGCATCTTTTATCGAGTATTAAAGTTGGATCTACAGACTTAGTGATCTCGCATCTTCAGTATGGTGACGACACAATTATTTTGACTGATGATACTATTGATAATCTTCAAACCATCAAGCCTGTCGTGTCATTAAACACTGGGTTGAGATAAGATATGATATAGATATCATATCATGTATCTTATCCTGCGCACCAAACAGACCCTTAATGAACGGGTAGTTGTTGTGAATGCACTTTTGTAACTTGTTAAGCAAAGTGAGAAATCTTGTCTCCTCTTCAAAGTTGATTTTAAGAAAGCATATAACTCTATAAGCTGGTATTTTCTTGACTATATGCTTGCTAAATTTGGGTTTAATGATAAACGGAGGAGTTGGGTTAGAAATTGTGTGTTTTATGGTAATCTTAGGTCTTGGTTAATGGTTGTCCGATCCAAGAGATCAGTATCCAAAGGTGGCTGAAGCAAGGTGACCCTCTATCTCCCTTCTTTTTTATCATGGTAGCTGAAAGTCTGAGTAGTCTGATTTTTAAGGTTGTAAAGTTGCACCTTTTATCGAGTATTAAAGTTGGATCTACAGACTTAGTGATCTCGCATCTTCAGTATGGTGACGACACAATTATTTTGACCGATGATACTATTGATAATCTTCAAATCATCAAGTCTATTCTCCATGGGTTTAATCCCGCCTCAGTCCTTCGTGTGAATTTTTTTAAAAGCTCTCTTTTCGGGGTGAATTTTGACCAGGATTTCTTAAATCTTTCTTGTGAATTTCTCCACTGCAAGAAGGAGTCCGTTGTACCTTGGACCCTCGATTGTAGCTAACCCCCGCCTAGTGTTTATGTGAGAACCTCTAGTTAATATCTTGTTTAGAAGACTCCTTTCGTGGAAGCATATGTATGTCTCTCTGGGAGGGAGAGTGGTCCTCAATGTCATCCCAATTTTTTTTTTATCTTTTTAAAAGATGTCTATTATGGTTTGGAAGAAGATAGTGAAAATCAAGAGGAGGTTTATTTAGGAAGGAGTGAAATGGGAGGCTAAGATTGCATGAGTTAAATGGGTGGATGTTTATAAGCCTAAGAAGTTAGGGGGACTTAGTGTTCGTGACCTTTAGTTAGTCAACTGCGCCCTCTTAGTGTTCGGCGTGATATTCTCACGACTAGATATGAAGTAGCCCCTACGACTTCTATTATGGGTAGGAGATTCGGTTGCCTTTGATCGGCCTCGCCTTGGTGTATAGGGGTTTCCCTTGTGAGAGCAAGAATTACTGACACTACTAACTGAGTCATGAATGGTCTCTCCTTGAAAGTTTTTTCTGGTCTCCTTACCTTCTTCTAGGAGGATTTTGGGTTGCAGACTCTCCCCTTTGTCTTAGATTCCCTATAATTTTTTCGATTTCTGACCAGATATCTAAATATGCTGGGGAGGTTGGTATATAGGAGAGGGAAAATTGAATCTTGGACGTTAAGGGGATCTTTTCTCTTTGACTATGAGTTGGTTCTTTTTAGCGATCTCTAGCTTGTTATTAGAGATTTCACATCTTTAGTTGAAAGCAATGTGTGGAGGTGACGTGAGTCAAGTGATGGAGTTTATTTTGTGTCTTTTCCCTACTCCTATCTTCTGGCCCGAGTGTTTTCCTAGGTAGTCATGTCTCTCCCGTAGAGTTTGTTCTTTTGGCTAATTGGTGTAGCTGGACCTCTTCTAAAGTTATAATTTTCTCTTGGAAGGATCGTATCCCAACCAGACATAAGTTACTTAAGAGGGTTGTTACTTTATCCTCTAGGACTGTTTATTTTCTCTTCTACTCATTGCACATTGAATCGTCCTCTTATATCTTTGTGACCTTTGAGGTTGCGTTCTCTGTTTGGTATAGAATTTTTAGGTGGTTGGGGTGGTGTGTTGTTTTGCCTAGAGATATCCTGACCCTTTTCCAGATGTGTATCCCTTCAACTGGATGTTCTAGGACTAGAAGGGGTTGAGGATGATTTGACATGTCGTTGTTTGGTCAATTTGGAAAACTCGAAATGATATAGTTTTTACGGATCCTCGGTGATACCAAAAGACGTGGAAGACATGAGCATCATTTTGGCATGAAAATGCTATCTTGATAAGTCCGTAAGAGGAGAAAGCATATTATGATGACAAGACCAAGTCTGACATAAGAGAAATACTTGTATGGAAACGAACTTAAATCTATATTTAAAAAATATCTAATAAGGAGAGAGAAAATTTTAAATTTATTTAAAATTAATTTTTTTTTAATTGTAGGGTGGTTGTGATAAGTGATAACGAAGGAAAGATAAAATATTATTTTTATTAATTAATAAAAAAATTATGATTGGTAATTTGTAAAAATACGGGTTATATCTAATAATTTTTCCTTGGCATAGTTGATATACCGATGATAGTGCAACTGTTTTATTTAATTTGGATTAGTATTCATTTATTTATTTTATTTTATTTATTTTTGCATTTTAATTGGATTCTATCTATGTTTTGAGATTTTTACAATAGGATGATTATACTCTTGATGTTTAGAGGCCCGGTTTTTAAAAAGAATTGAGTCTTCCAATTATTTGAGATGGATAATGTATCATTTCATGTTGCTTATGTGTATAGTTATATACATCTTTTGTTTTGTTGGTAGACAAAATGACAATAGCCTGCTAAAACGCATGCACACCAAAAAGTGTTCAACTTAAGGGTATCAAAATTTGTTGTTTCAACTTTAAAATTGAATAACACTCAATCTAAATTTGATTATTCTTTTTATACAAAAACTACACTATCTAAATTAGATTAATCTTGTTGGAACTGATTTGGTTGAAATTAATCTTGTAAAAAAATTAGATAGAAAATTCAATATAAAGGATCTGAAATCCTTAAATATATTTGGGTCTTGAACTAGAAAGATCAAAGAAATGTATATTTTTATGTCAAAGTAAATATACCCATAACATGTTCTGTTACATTATTCCTGCATCACTCATCATGCTAAGTATTATTAGAAGGTTGGTTAGAAGTGGTTGAATTAGTTAGAGTTTGTTACAACTCAAGCAACTTCAAACTATCAAATGAGAATGAGCATGAATCAGAGATTCATCAAAGTATTCACCAAAGCTCTTTTACAATTTATTTTATTGATCCGAAATTTGGTTCAGTGTGTGTTTGTAACAAAACATAAATATTACAGTTAATAAATCACTTCGATCCACCATTTTGTACTCCTCTAAGAAAAGATGCACTCTTACTAATTTCGCGCACCGGCTTGTTCGTGTGTCGGATGAAAGTATACGCCCATGTACCAGCCACGGCACCCAGAGTCGTCGCCACCAAATATATCCATATCCCTCTGTACTCCTTATGAACAATAGCAGGCCCTAAGCTTCTTGCAGGGTTCATTGACGCTCCCGTAATCGGCCTGTTATTAACATATATGATTTCAAGCATGTTTAAGTTTTGACTAGTTTCGAACTGGTTTAAAATTAAGTTCATACCCAGCAAACATGACATTCAGAAGTACCGTAGATCCAACTGCGAGTCCAGCCAACTCGCCAATCTGCAATATTTACAAATAAAATCAATAAATGACATATAAAACAGAGTTGAAAATTGAAAGACATTAAAGTACAGAGAAATTACCGCTCTATTATCGGTGGCAACTCCAGAGATAATGAACATAAGATAAAAAGTGATAATAAACTCAACCACAAATGCTTGAAGATCAGAACCCGCCGGAAGTGTCCCCGGAAAATGATCTTTATTGCCGTTGAATATAAGCCTAAGTGTTCCACTTGCAAGAGTTGATCCAAGAACTTGTGCTATTAAATAAGCTGGTACCTACAAAATACTCAACAATTTTATTAACACTAATCACAATGCTGTGAGAGAATTTTTAGAACTTGGTTCACCTCTTTAAGCGGAAACCTTTTGGTCGACGCGTGAGCGATGGTGACGGCGGGATTGAAATGAGCGCCGGAGATGTGACCGAGAGAATAAACCAAGACCATAACTGTTAGGCCCCAAACAATTGAAATCCCAGGATGTGTTATCACTTTGTCATTGTCAAGGTTTACAACCACGGCAGCACATCCTGCAAATATCAAGAAGTATGTCCCCACCACTTCTGCCACCAACTATATTCAACACAACATAAAAACTATTAAATTTCATCATTTTCAGTTCAAAAAAAATTAATTCTTTTATGTACTTTAGAAAAAAGTTGAAGAAAAAGATTTATAGAGAAGTTTAGAAGATAAACCTTTTGCAGAAGAGGCACACAGTTATCTTCACAATTCTTGGAGGAATCATCATTTACATTCAAAGCTATTTCATGGTTTCCATTGCTTGATGAATGATCAGCCATAACACCGACACAAAATAAGGATAAAGAGAAGAAGTGAAATGAAAAGAAATACTTTTTTTGTGATTTGTCAAAAGAAGTTGAGAAATGAAGTATGGAATTTAAGAATGGAACTAGCTACCCCAATTTATGGCACCCAAAAAAGTCTTATAAATAGGAGGGATGGAAGAGATTCATAATTGACTTCTTTGAAATTTCCACACATGGAAAAGTAAATTATTACTTTTTGGTTTGTAACATGTATATTTTGTGAACATATATCACTTTTAATCACATGATAAGTTTGACAAACTAATTTTAAACCGTGTTTAAAGTAAAATTTTCATGATAAAATATTACATAAACATTAAATATGTTATCGGATATCTTCCGGCTTAGATTTTAAATTCGAGTTTATCTCTGAATATGTAATAGTATTATATCATTTTGAAAAAGAGTTTTGTCGTTTATTGTAGTTGAAATTTTTCGGATGACGAATAGAAGAATTTCTTATCTTGCATACTATATGTGTAGCTTGAGGTGTGATTCTTGATGACATTGAAAGCTTTTGCAACTACCCACCGGAAATTCAGAATGGGACATAAATTGCACTTAACTTTAAATTTTGGATAGGATATATAGACTTGTCTTTTTGTCTATTTGTCTCTCTTAGTCAAATGTTTGAAGTTTGATGATGTTAAGTTGACATACTATTATGGTAAATATTAAGACAAAAATAAATAAATAAAAAGATTAGGGTTTGAATAGTTATGTCCAAGGAAAAAGTTGGATGAGAATGAGATGAGGTAGATGAATGAATAGATAAGAACTCAAACTTTAGTACATTGAATGATGAATTCTATATTTAGGTTATTATTACTTGTTAGAACTCTCATTTATGTTTTTTATTGTTTATTGGTTGGGGCTAGTTTCCTTTTAAAATCAATTCCTATGAGAATAGTATTTTCCAATGTTTAAAGTAAGTGGGAAAATGTTCAAAGTACAAACATCGCTATAACTAAATTTATTGTTATGGAGTTATTTGGGAAAGCTTTCATAATATTTATTATCTATTTTTGGTGATGGTGAATTATAGTATTTATTACTTAGATAATGCGAAATTATGTTAATATCTTTCAATGGAACAATTAGTTTAATTGTACTTTAAGTTATATAAAAGAATTAATTTCACTTTTTTTCTTTTTATATATTATTTCCAATTTAAAGTGTATCAAATTAATACTTGATATGAGAGAATTATTTTACTTCAAATTTAAATTTTAACTGATTATGAGTGTAGTATCTTTAGCTTTTTTTTCTTCAATTATTTAATTTTTTTTTATATATAGATTAACGAAGTGTCTAACTGGTAGGGCTAGAAATGAGTCGAATCGAGTCGAACTCATCTCAGCTCGACTCGTTAAAAATTATTTGAGTTCGAGTTCGACACAAACTTTTTTTTAAGCTCAAACTCGACTCGACTCGTTATAAGTTCACGAATAGTTCGGTTCAACTCGTTAGGTTCATCTCATTAGGTTCAGCTCATATGATTCACGGACTTAAAAACTATTTTTTTAATATTTATATTTTTTAGTATATTTGACATTTTAAATAAATATATATATTTTTAAATAAAATATTAAAATAAAATAAAAGTTATCATATTGAAATTTAACTTTATCTTCGAAATCTACTAATTCAAAACCTACACAACTTTCAAGAGATACATTTGAGAGTCTAATTCAAAAACTACTAAATTGAAGATTAAATTTGTCTAAGATTTGGAGTAAATATTTAAACCTAATCTTAAAGACAGTATAATTCTTCTGATATGTAATCGAGTTGACTCATGAACCTAACGAGTCGAACTATGTATAGTTCAAGTTCAGCTCATTTAGTTAACGAACTTAATTTTTCGCTCATACTCAACTCATTTGGTTCATGAACCTAGTTCAACGATTTAATTGTCGAATCGAATTCCGAACTATTTTCGAGTTGGTTCGGTTCATTGCCCCTACTAACCGGCATTACAAGAGGAAACACTCAACTTAAAAATATGATTAATCCAAATTCTAGATGGATTTGCCAACTCTCATTATGTGATGTACATCCAAATTACAGTCACGATTAACAAACATTAAAGTAGCATCAATAAAGCCACATAACAAAATCTTACAATAATTCACAATAGAATCCAAAGCAGTATTAAAATCAACACTAGTAATACAATCTACTAACACTAAGGCATCACACTGCATAATGATACTCGCAATCTTAAACTCCTTGGCCAATTGGAGACACCAACGGATAGCTAGAATCTCTGTCGTACTGGCATCAACGTGGCTGGGGAAACGATTAGAGACAACCATGAAAATGTGTTGCAGTCTAAAATTTGCCCTCTTATTTCTAATCATAACTGCCTTATGTTTCACATTCAAGTGCATTTTCCGTTAGGGCATATCCTTGCATTCATTCATTTGCATTGAGCTCCTAAAGATGTGGATCAAATCATTTTCCTGTTATTTGAGTTTTCCATATTCAGAGGTGATTTATCTGTCTATTGCACCCGAGTTGAGACAAAGATTGAGTTCCCAACATCATGATTATCTTCTTTACCAAGGTTCATCAGGTATCAAGGTCATCTTCTTCATGATTTTTCAAGAGGATCAATGTGCACTCGAGGGCAGGAATTTTGGTTTCAAGTCAAGTGTGGTTATTCAGTCATGATCAAGATTAGATGGAAATTTGACCTAATCTTGGTCAAACCTGTTCGAACACAGATTGGTTCTTATTAATTACTCTTTGTTTTGATGATAACTGTTAGGAAATTTATATTTAAGAATTATATACTCTAAAATTTGTTTGAGAGTTTTGCTGCAGATTAAAATTATATTGACTCTCTAGAAGCAAATCTGTCTTTGAATACAAGAAGGTATTCTGAATCTGAAGCGCCAGATGCATCTTACAGAAGAATCTGCTTGCTCCTTACAGAAGATCCTGAGCGTAGTCTCCAGAAGGATCTGAAGAAAGAAGCTCCAGAACATTCTGAGTCAGAAGCATCTGAAGATAGTCAGAAGCATCTGAAGATAATCAGAAGCATTTGAAGATGAAGCATCAGAAGAATAGAAGAATATTGATTGAAGAGTTTCTCAAAGCATTGATCTACAGAAGTTTCTGAAAGTACCTACGCTGCCAAGTACTGAAGTTCTGTGTCAAGATGCTCTGATGATCAACACGCTAGAAGCACACAGCTGCAGAAGACTCTGATACAGCATTGTTCTGAATCTCATCAGAAGACTCTGATCTTTTCAAACTCTGAAGAACTTGCTGAAACTGAAGAAGTGTTTTCAAGAATGTATCCGTTGGAATCATTCAACGTCTCTTTCCTTATTTGTGCTAGACACACTTACACAGACAAAAAGGATTTATCTGTGCCATCTATTTCAAGGAAAGGTCAGTACATGTGAAGACAAAAAGGCTCAGACCTTTTGGACTCTCTTTTCAATGTGGAAAATTTAGTTGCCTATAAAAGGAGCCTCTCACTTCATTCTTCAGTTACACACTCTTGAGCTATACACTTGCTGAAAAGAAACCAAATATTCATAAGCTCTCATTCTTATTCTTCATAGAATCTTTGTACTTAAATCTTAAGAGAAAATCACTGTTGTGATTATAGCTTTATAGAAGCATTAAAAACTCTTGTATTTTATTTACATTGTTTGTAAAGGAATTTCCTTAAGAGGATTCAGTGTGAATCAGTAGCTCTTGAGAAGACTAAGAACTGTAGTTCTTAGGTGATACTATTGTAATCAGTTTGATTTAATAGTGGATTAAGACCTTGTTGAGAAAGGCAAATCACTCTGGAAGGCTGGACTGGAGTAGTTGTTTAACGAACCAGGATAAAAATAATTGTGTGTTTTATTTCAAGTATTAATTTTCTAAACTTATTCAACCCCCCCCTTCTAAGTTATATCTCACCTTCAGTTGGTATCAGAGCTCCGGTTCTGAGTGTGTTATCACTTAACAGTGTCAGTAAAGATCCAGAGGAGATATACTTTGATCTATATATTTATTTGTTATCATGGCTGATAATTCAATCAACAATAAATATGAAGAGAAGGATAGGATCAGTACCAAACCTCCAATGTTTGATGGAGAAAAACTTGACTATTGGAAAGATAGAATAGAAAGTTTTTTTCTTGGGTATGATGCTGATCTTTGGGATTTGGTCATTGATGGATATGTACATCCTACTGGAGAGGATGGCAAAAAGATTGATAGAAAATCAATGACTGAAGTGCAGAAAAGAGACTTCAAGAATCATCACAAAGCCAGAACTATATTGCTTAATGCAATCTCTCATACTGAGTATGAGAAGATTACTAACAGAGATACTGCTCATGACATGTTTGAATCACTCAAAATGACTCATGAGGGAAACTCCCAGGTTAAAGAGACAAAGGCTCTGGCGCTCATACAGAAGTATGAGGCATTTAAAATGGAAGATTCTGAAAATGTAGAAACTATGTTTTCTAGATTTCAGATTCTTACAGCTGGTCTGAAAGTTCTGGACAAGGGCTACTCAACGTCAGATCATGTCAAGAAAATCATCAGAAGTCTTCCCACCAGATGGAGACCAATGGTGACTGCATTAAAGATGGCAAAAGATCTGAACAAGATCTCCTTAGAAGAACTTATCAGTTCTTTGAGAAGTCATGAAATTGAGCTGGAGGAAGATGAACCCCAGAAGAAAGATAAAGGTAAATCCATAGCTTTAAAATCTAACAAAACTGCTAAAGCTTTGCAGGTTATTCAAGAAAGCTCTGAAGAATCTTCTTCTGAAGAAGAAGATGAGTTGTCCATGCTGTCCAGAAGGATTAACAAACTCTGGAAGCACAAGGGAAAGAAGTTTAACAACTTCAGAAGATCTGAAAACAGAAAAGAATCTTCTAGTCACAGAAGATCTGCCAAGAAAGATGTGGTGTGTTATGAGTGCAAAGAACCTGGGCACTACAAGAATGAAT